AATGAATATGTGTAAAGTACTCAGAAAGTGGTTTTAAGTACTAAGACACAGCAGTACCTGGCATGCTATCCATAATCTGCCTGCTAATACTACCATTTACGGAGCACCTACTACATGGCAGAGATCAGAGAAACAAGAATGAATAAGAATAAGAGGTTGTCCACGTCCCCGGGAGTACAACGTAGCAAGGGTGATGGATACACAAGCAAGTGAACTGAAGTGTGCCCAAGTGAGAGAGAGAGAAAGAACACACAAATGCACATATACAGCAGATGCAGACATACACACACGCGGACACACGCTCACGCACGCGTGTGTGCGACCACACGCTGACACGCGCGCGTGCAACCTCACGCGCGTGTGCGACCACAGAGCCACACACTCACACACACACGTGTGTGCAACTACTCACAACCGGTGAGTTACAAACAAGGAGGTGCTCCTTCCCCTCGGAGGAAGGGAAGCCGGGAAAGGCTCTGCAAGGGAGCATGATAGCTCAGTCAAGTCTTATGTTAGGAGGAGGTATTTGCCCGGGAAGAGAGGGCATGACGACGTCCGAGCACTTGAGGCGTGTGAGGAGGGGCATAAAACATGTCACCAGTTAACAAATATGCATCAAATGCTTCCTATGTACTGGGCACAGCGTTAAGTGCTGGGATACAACATCAAGGATACTGATGAGGTTTTTGCTCTCACTGAGCTAACATTCTAATAGAAGAGATGAACAATAAACCCAGTAAACAAATATATCAACCAAAGAGCTAGGGAGAAAACACAGCAAGCAAGATGGCTGCAGTGAGGCTGGGGATCGTTTGCCCGAGTACCGAGCTGAGCGAGGACAGGTGTGAGCAGAGCCAGAGGGAACCCCATCCCCCACCTCTGTTTTCCATGCTGAGGACTTTCCCTGAACCTCCTCCTACCCCCCGACCTTGAATCTCCCCCTGAGTAGATTTAGAATTTTGAGTGTGTTTTCCTTCCTTCTGCACATAGACAGTGGCCCACAGACTCCAAATGTCCGTGCAGGTGGACTGTTGCAGACCCAGACTGGAGCGAGGGAGCGAGACGCCTGTTTTGGGCTCTCAACCTAAGATACAGCTTCTAACTCAGCTCACTGTTAGCAGCCACATACATGCATTTTGGCTTCCATCTGCCTTATTATGCTTATCTTAGTTCTCAGCTGTCTCAGAACTTGGGAAGAGAACTCTTATTATTAAGATAAAAGTTTTTATACGATAAAAACCTTCCCTCCCTCAACAGACCTCAAAACTAAATTAGGAACCACTATCCTAACTATCAAGCCTGTCGCCTTAGTGAAAAAAATCTTGCACATCTTTTACTTAACAGCTCCAAAGACATTGCTAGGGGGGTACCTGAGAAGTCTGGCCCAAATGGGATAATAAGGCAAATTCAACAGAAGCAACAAATATCGGGGGAATGGGACGAGGAATGGGATGATTTCTGCACCAGCGTCAAACCCTAGGGTCCACAGGTCACAGTCGGTAGCCACAAGGAGGAAGATGAAGAAATGTGAAGTCTTCAGACATTCTTAGCCTTTGATTTCATATCTACAGGTTTTTTTTTTTAAACCATGCTAGAAAAAGAATTGCTTGAATTTATCTTTGAAGAATTTAAAAAGCGTTCTCAATATATATACACATTTGCTTCACAATTTCCTTCTGAGACAGGATGGGACTCTAACGTTATTGGGGAGAAATGTAGGTATTTGGTTACTGGTTACTATCTACAGGGCTCAGTTCTGAGCATCAGGGAAATTAAAAAAAAAAAAAAAGACCAAGAATAAGATAAATGGTCCCTGACCTTGAATGCCTTACCCTCTATCTAGAGAGACTGCTCAGACCCCCCCCCCACCCCCGCAAAGCCTTATGTAGCAAAAGAGGAAACACCAGACGCATGTCAGATAGATGGTAGAGACTTTTAAAAATGCTCCCAGAGTTCAGGGGGAGAGGAGCATCTGTTGAAATCAAGAGTGATTACAATGGTTTCATGGAGGAGCCTAGACATAGGACAACATCAGGGACACGTTACAACCCCACCTACACACGCTGGAGAAACTGGAATCAGAGACTGCACCTCTGGTAGAAGCTTCTAGAAAACAAGCCCTGCGTACTACATGCCTTTGTGCAGTCCTACTGTACCTGGCATCCGGGCATCGCGTTCCACCCCGGGGAATTGGCTCCTAAATCCGAGTAGCACACGGAATGGGTACTCTGTTTCCCGAGATCTCCCACGGCTCCGTGTGGCTGCCCACTTTCCAGCCAGAAGCTGTCGGCAACTACAAAGCACAGGACACGCTCCACCCACGGTGCAATCCTGTTGGTGCTGCTTTGCCACAGGGCTGATGAGAGGCACAGACTCTCTACCGACTTTGCTTGGCGAAGCTCTGGTGGCACAATGGGGCCTGCGGAATTCTACTACACACGTTGTCTTCTCCCCGGTCAAGTCCCGAGCTGGATGAGGGGGCAGGGGGCAAGTGTTCACGACATCCTCTCTCTCTGTCTCTCTCTCTCTCTCTCTCTGAAGGAGGGCAAAGGCCAGCCAGGGTCAAGGGGGAAATGGAAAGGGGCATGTGGGCTGGGCTCCTCCTGCCAGGGATATACCGGCTGCCACAGTCATTATATTTTTTCTGGCCGCACAGACATGTTGCTATGGAACCAGTACATGCCATGGCGACTTGGCCTCTAGCAAAGAAAATCACATCACTGGCAGGAGCGTTTCCCTAGATTTCCCTTAAAGGGATACCATCGAGCGGGAGCGCAGCTCCCGCTCAGAAACAACAGCGGGATTGTTCCAGGGTCCAGCCCCCCGCAGACCATGAAATGGAGCCCAGCCACTCATGTTCTACAAGGCGTCCCTATGTGGGGCACGTGGGGCACGTGGGCCTCCGTGGTATGAACCCAGAGCGTGGGGACCAGCCTCTGAGCGGCTTTTTAAGTAAGAAAAATGTGGCTTCCCTTTGTGTTTCGTTTCCCTGGTAAAAGCAAATGGCCTGGGATATTTTAGGGTAATGATTTGGTGCCTCCTGACTGTCAACTTCAAACTACTCATCACCCCAGAGGAACCAAAGTGGCCCCCGAGTGGTGGGAATGCACTCAGGTGGCCCCGACTTTACCTCTCTTGCTTCAGTCCTCTCCAGCAGTTTCTTCTTTACTAAGTGAATAGTACAAAGCAGGCATGGGATCTGGCCCTCCCCCAGCTTCGCAGAGGCCCTAAATTGTCCTTTATTTTAGTCTTAATCCACCTCTTGATTCCACGGAGACCCTGAGGTTCTCCAGAGAGCAGAAGATCTCATGTCCCACTTCATACTGCGTGGTGTGCTCTGGGGATAAACCTGTTGGGCTTTTCTTGGGTAAGATGATGAAATGGAAACCCTGAAGTTGAGACCTCTAACAAATGCACCTTCACGCACATCACGCATTTGGGGACAGGAGCATCAGTATTAGAGTAGGAAGCAGTCAATCGTCAGTGAATTAGCAATCCATGTTCCAAATCCCGTTCTGGACACTGGTGGAAAGCAGACTATCTCTGTCCCCTGATAAGAAGCCATCAGGTTCCTTAATAAGATTCCAGTTACGGCAGAAAAGAAGCCCCCGTTCATTAAGTTACAGTGATTAAGTTGACAAGTGGGATAAAATAGTAGACACAGGCTCTCAAGACCATACTTAGAGCGTCCCCAGGTGAGATGAAATGTTTTGGACATGAGTGCACCTAGCTCACCAAACTAAATGAACGCCATCCCGAGCCAGCTCTAGCAGAGGCATTCTTGAGAAAGCCGCAGATAAGCTGGCCTTCTAGGATTCCAGGGGACGATCAGAGTCTCACATCTCCCTCCGTCTTACTCCACAATTGCACTCTCATGTAAAAAACAATACAATTTTTTTTTTTTAAAATCAAGAAATGTTTTTCCGTGAGCCTCTGTGACTGCGAGTCAAATCTGCACTGCCCGATACGGAAGCCGGTAGGCGCTACTCTGCAGGTGCACGCGGTCCAGAGTGGGGGTGTGCGGGTCAGCAGCTGGTCAGACCCTGCAGGTGCGCCACACTTTCTAGCTGCAAAACACATGCACCACCCCCGTCCGGGCACGTGGCATGGCACTATGCAAATGCAGCGGTTTGGGAAGCACCAAGGAAAATACACCCTCTCATGTGAGGTCTGTAACAGAAGTGTTCTGGGTCTGTCCTCTCCACCCACCCGTCTTGGTAGTAGCCAAGTACGATTACTGGAAAGTTAACTAGTTAAACAGCATCCCTCCTGATGCATGCCTTGGAGGGATGTTACCAGGTCCAACCTCCTACGGCTCTGCACCCTCAGAAAGAAAAGGGACTCGAAAGACAGCTCTGTGCAGGGTGGGTTGGGGTGGGGGTAAGCAGGGGAGACCACCACACGTCTGGGAGTCAAAGTGCCTCTCAACAGCCCCACTCTGCTGCTATCCGAGAAGCCCCTAGATGGGGGACGGGAGGCCCTCTGGGGCCTGTGCAGAGGGCTTTGCCAGATGGGCTCTAAAGTCCCACCTCATGTTCACATCCTATTACTCTCTGTCATGATATTCACGAGATGGTGTGTCATATGAACAAAATGGATGGTTTCTCCTTGCCCACGGCCGTATTTCTGTGCATCAGTCATTGAGAAAAAGAGAAACTTCCTCCCTCCTCCCCTCTGCAAGCTGGACAAGGTAAGAGCAACAATGGTAATAATTCATAAGGGGCAAAACATGTGTACAGCAAAAAGAAACGGCAGACAAATACAAGAGTGAAACCTTCCCTTCGGAAGGGAAGAGATGTGATGAGTAGAGAGAACGCTTTGGTGCCAAGCGGGAGAAAGCGTCTAGAGAACGCACGCTTTCAAGCACTTTTCTTGGAGCATCACGAGAACTGGATTAAATTTTGATGTGAAAAAATATAAAATATATTTTCTATAAAATAAAATATATACAAAAGATAAGTGATATATAAAATATATAAAAGGGTCAAAGGATCACTCACCCTATGAAAACAGCAGACTGGTTTCGTTTCACCCAGAAAAAGGACTAATTTCTTTGGAAAACTGGAAGAGAAAGAGATTTTAAATAAACAACAGGAAATCCCAGTGCTTTGACACTTAATAGGTGCACAGTCAATGCCTGATGGATGGTGGAGATATATATTGCTTGGCCAACTATGTCAATTTTGAAAACAGAGCTTTGAACATTTAACATGTGAAAAGTAATCCTGTGCATGATTCCTTTATCACAAAATGAGAACCTTATGACAAAGGAGGGCCTAGGGTAGTGCCTGGGAAATCATTTATCAGGGGATTCTTCTCATCTATGTCTGTGGGGCTAACTGAGGATGTCTTGATAAGTAACCAGCATACCCTGTGACGGCCCTGGGCCCTTGCCCTGCACACCTTCCCCACCCCAAAATGGTGCACCACAACCCCATGCACCCCCCGCTGAAGCCAGTGACCGCACAGGGATCTGCAATGGGCTCGGGGGCGGGGGGGAATGTGGACTTGGCAGAGAGGCACCGACTGAGTAATCCCGTGAGGAAGCCACGGTGTTTGGGATCAAGTGTGGGAAAGAACCGAGCTGATGTGAATGTTGGGAGCGGAAGCCTCAAAGACAAAGAGAGATAAGGGGGTGACAGCAACAGATTGTGTAATCTACATCACATAAGGAACTCAGCTCAAGATCCAAGTTTTTAAAAAAATTTCCAGAGACTGTTTTAAAGACGCCTTTGCAGGTTTATGAGGGGATGTGGGGCGGAGCTGGTGCAGCTCCCGAGACTGGCAAATTGCGCATGATCCCAGAGCATTCGGGATGAAGTCTGCGGGCTCTAAGAAGACCACTGCTTGTTTCTCCCCTGCTTGCCCTACGAGGAAGAGAGTGCTGTGGCCCTCGGGCAGCCAGGGACGGTCTCCTCGGGACATCCGCGGGCTGCAAGTTCCCAGACCCCATGTCTCAGAATCTGCAAGGTCCCCATCCCAACCCCAGAGAGCAGCCTGCCTACTAGACTGTCAGGCTGGGCTAGGGGACTGCAGGGCAACTCAGACCCTGTGGTTCTGCCTCCTAAGAAGTTCAGAGCCTCACTGCAAACACTTACAGGGGCATAACGCAGGGGCAAAAGATGGTACACGCTGGTACAAGCTCTGAGCACCTTCTTTTTAAAGCAACACTTTAGAATCCGCTCACATACATTAACCTTTTCATCTTCATGGCAGCAAGATGTCTACGGTAAGAACCAGCAAGATCAGAAAAGCTAATTTCAGAGTCAGACCCAAGTCTGCATCTCAGCTCAGGGGCACATCAGCTGTGGGACGCAAGTTGTATAAACTCTCAAAACGCTTTCCCCCATGGGAATACGAATACCCACTTCCTAGCATGTTTCACGCTCTCAGTGCAGTGCCTGGCCTGTAGGAGAGACTCAGGGAAAGAAACCGCTTTCATGCCATGTGGCACAACACATTTCTAGGTCTGCATCAGTCCAGAAGACACAGGAGAGATTTTTGTAATTCCATAACTTGTCAAAATGTGAGTACCTGTATTATCTTCTCTTTTGCCCAAACCCTCAAAATTAGGTGAGTCAAATGAGAGCAAAGCAAAACATTTACTGTGAGTAATTAGATAATATACATGAGGAAAAAACCCAAAGAAAATAAACCAGCAGGCCCCACTAATAATTACTATGGACATTTTGGCTTATTTGGCTTTACGCTCTCTCCTACAGTCAGGTACACAGAGTTTATTATACAAATACTTAAATAAATAAAATTATATACATACCTATAATTTATTCATAACATACTATGATAGCACTCATACTGTTTTGCAGTCCGATCATATTTTCCTTGTTATACTACAAACCTCTTTTAATAGCAATAAATCCATCTCCACCATCATTCTTTTTTTAAAAAGATTCCATTTTTTAAGTAATCTCTACACCCAACATGGTGTTTGAACTCACAACCCCAAGATCAAGAGCCGCCTGCTCTACCAACTGAACCAGCTAGGTGCTCCTCCATCCTAATTCTTGACTTTTTCATTGAAAGAATGAACCGCTAAATAAACAGTTGTTGAATTTACAGAGTCTACCGACGTGCCCCCACATTTACGAGAAACGACTACACGTGGTAGCACACTTTTTCTTTTACATTTTTGTCAAGATCGAGAAAGGCAACCTGTAATAAATATCAGAAATCTTAGCAACAAAAAACTGTTTTGGTTTGTGTGGGTGTCCCTTAGAATACAAACCGGCACTAGACACCACAGAGACTATCAAAAAAGGACAATATTCGGTGAGTTTCCAATATATCAGAAGAGGACCAAATTTTAAAGCCTGGGGCTAAGGGTAGATAGAGATGCCGACGCTCTGGCTATGAAATCGTTAAGTGGGACATGACGGGAGTGTCCTATTTTCAGTGTGATCACGGTGAAGTGACTTCATGATAGAAAGGTAAACTGAAAACCGCAGTCTTGAGTAACCTTCAAAATTATAATCGCATTACATAAACTTTAAAAAAACCTAAAAAAAAAAAATCAGGATTTACCATATTTAGAAAACATCAAGAGGTGGAATGTTTGTGCAGCCTCAGTATTTCTCATCTACTTTCCTCCTCAAAGGGAACGGTTGATTTGGTAAAACATATGTGATAGAGTTTTGCTTGAGTTGCACGACACATCCTTGTCCTCGATTGAGAAAATCGTGCCATACCTCGAAATGTGACTGACTAGCAACATTTCAGGAAAACACCACTTTTGTGGGGGGAGGCTGAGGGAGTGAATGTATCCCCACAATCTGCAAAGAGCGCGGGGCTAATGCCTCCTCCAGTTACGAGGAACCCTTTCTAAGTATCACCAAACACCACTCGGACCAGCAGGCAGCAGGTGGGGGACGGGCAGGCGGCAGCAGAGAAAGGCAGGACAGAACTGTGGCATCAGAAAAACGCCAAATCCCTGGGCGGCTCAGTCGGTTGGGTGACTGCCTTCGGCTCGGGTCGTGATCCCGGAGTCCCGGGATCGAGTCCCGCATCGGGCTCCTTGCTCAGCGGGGAGTCTGCCTCTCCCTCTGACCGCCTTCCCTCTCATGTTCTCGCTCTCTCAATAAATAAATTAAAAAATCTTTAAAAAAAAAAAAAAAAGAAAAATGCCAAATCCACTACCAGCTGGAAAATCCTGGAGGGACCCAAAGTGGAGAAACAAAGGAAAGAAACGTTAACAGTTTGATCTGCGAAACCACGAATGGACAGGTGATGACCCCTTTGCATGTTACCCTCCAACAAAAGTTCTCTAAAACTTTATCCCTCGACCAGTTGATGCAATTTTGGGGGGAAGTGACAGTCGGGAAGGAGTCATGCTCTTGGAAGAGATTTCTACTGTTCTATTTTGACGACGTGGAAGAGTTGACATTAGGAGGTAATAACACAGCTGTTCAATTTTAGCACTGGATAGAATCAGAGAAACATCTCAGCAACTCACACCAGTGACTTTCTATCACAGAATATGGACCGAGCTACTCTTCCCAGGTCTCCTTTGCTGGTTACAAGTCAGGAGCTAGTAAGCTGTCCCTAGATCTGACAGTGACCTTCTTATAGCTTTTGCTTTGCTGAACTCTCTTGTTGTCAATGCTTTCTCCATGAGAAAGAACCAGATGGTCAGGCCATGTTGTGTGCCATGCAATGTCTCTTCTATGCAGTCAAAGCTAGGTGATGCACCTCCTTAAATTTGCTTTCGAAGGGTCCTTCCTCTCGTCTGACGGCGTACATGGGATGACCCAGTACGTATTCTGTACAGCGGACCTGTAGAACCATGGAAAATTGTGGTTTAAATTCTAACATCTCTGTCCACTGGTGTGCCTATGGCAAATACAACCTAGCCAGGAAAACTGGGTTGACACCATATATTCCACACTTAACAATATATTTTTGGACTACTGACTTTGGAAATTTTTGTCTTCTCATTTTTTTAAAATAAAGATTTAATTTATTTATTTGACAGAGAGACATAGCGAGAGCAGAAACACAAGCAGGGGGAGTGGGAGAGGGAGAAGCTGACTTCCCGCTGAGCAGGGAGCCCGATGCGGGGCTTGATCCCAGGACCCTGGGATCATGACCTGAGCCGAAGGCAGACACCTAAGGATGGAGCCACCCAGGCGCCCGTTGTCTTCTCATTGTATAAACATGGAGTATCATCCCGGGTTACCCCGTTGGATACCTTAACATTAGCGACCAGCACGTACTCAGTGGCTATTTTGTGCCCACAAGATTTCATCTGTCATCTCCAATCCTCGCAAACGCTCTATAAAATAAGTTCTATTAGCCCCATTGTTCAGATGAAGAAAACAAGGTTCAAGACAAGCAACCCACCTGGGGTCGCATAACCAGTCACTGATGAAGCAAGAATGCAAAGCGGGCACCACGCATGTGAATTTTTACAAGAAAGCTGCAATGTGTAGCACCCTGTCAACCACACAAAAAAGAGCCCTTGCTTCCCCCAAACAAGCAGATACTCCTTTTCCAGGGTGTTGTATGGGGGCAGCAAGCAAGGACGCCAGAAGAAAAGTTATCCAGGCCACTGAGTGGCGAGCACGGCGTCAGTCGTCCAACAGGTGCTAGGCAAGCATTCTCCAGGCAGAACAGCAGGACCAAAGTGCTGACAGTTGCAACGACACAAAATGTAGCCTTGGCAAGTTGGTCTAACAATTACTTTGCATCATTCTGATTATGAGCCACAAGCATGCAATCAACAGCAGAGAGACAATCTTAAATGATCTCCATCAGCATTTTACTTTACTTATCAAAGCGTGGCAGACAGAACACACTCTCATCTGACCTCAACGCAATGTTAATGACCCAAACACCAAGAATGTGCTAGAACAATAATGATGCAAGAGCGCCAGCCTTGTTGGGGGCCATTGGTTACTATATGTGCGTTTTATTTCATTCCGTGTTTTCCATCTATTACCTCAGAGTAAAAAAATAATAATAATATTTATGTATTTCTCATCTGATCCATTTATCCACCGTCTAACTCAATTTAAAGATTCAAGTAAGTTTACAAATTCCCCAGA